CTCTCTCTCTCTCTCTCTCTCTCTCTCTCTCTCTCTCTCTCTCTGTATTCCTATCCCATGATTAATGAAGGGTTTCTACCAGGTAGATCCAACTTAATAAAGTCAGGTCAGTGGAAAAGAAGCAATGGGATTCCTTACCTTCCCACTTTTTAAATATTTATTATTAATTCATGTTTGCAGTTCACCATAGGTAGTTGGTGCTGGGACACAAGGCATCTGAAGTCCTTTTCATCTCCTACCCCTTTCTTCCTCCTCTTTCTTTCCATTTCTTGCTTTCCTTCCCACTTATAAAAGGAACTATCTCCATCTTTTTTATCAATGTTTTATATTTCCTTTCCTTCTCTTCCTATCTTCCTCCCTCCACTGCTTTTAAAACAATAAAAATAGAGTAAAAATTATCCCAAGAATATTCCACTTAAACAAAACAAACACTAGATCTGGAAAAAAGATTCCAGAAAGTTAAAAACAACTGAGGTATTAAATCAAATCACTCTCAAAACAACATGTATTGAGACTAGGTGTGGTGGTGAGTGCCTGTAATCCCAGCTGTTGGGAGGCTGTAAACAGGCAGATCACTATGAGCCCGATCTAGTAGTGAGACCCTGAACTTCCTGTAGACCCTTCCCTAAAACACACAAAAAAGCAGTATTTTAAAAAATTCAAGTAAATCTAGAGTTTTAATATTAATATCTTAAAATTAATTCTATTGGTACATTTTAGATATACATAATGACCACAGGCATAATAAGGAATTTGCACCTGCACATAGCATATCTCGATTATTTTTTAATATATTCATGTTTTCAAGTAAGGAGAAAAAGCTTTGTTATAAGGCTCTGTAACATTTCATATCCAAATGTGTAAAGTTTACTTGTGCTTACTAGGTTGCACAGCATATATTAGGTTTATATATGGAAAATGCAAGGCAACAAATTACATAAAGTGCATGTGTTTTGGTACAGAGTATATAATGGCCAGCCTGCTCCTAAAACTATACAGATTCTACATAACACATTAGGCAAGCTACAACACCCAGAATATTTGTGTATCTTATACACCTTACGTAGTGCACAGACTACATACAGTGGTTTGATTGATGACGGTCTGATATACTGTATTTTAAATTTATATTTAAATTTATAGCTCTCCACCAGTAATGTGTGTGCCACAGCAGACTTAGGATTTTGATTGTTTTTTTTTTTTTCTTTCCTGGGCTACTAATATGGGATTATTACTCACTCAAGATGCTGGATATTCAGGGTGGCATCTGCTTAAGACATTCTAAAAGAAACAGAGAAGGAAAGAAAAAAGAAAGAAAGAAAGAAAGATATTCTCAAATGAGGATGTTCAAAACTCCTCCAATATATCACGGAAACTCTAAGTAGCATTCAAGAGACCCTATAACAATGTATAATAATGCATACTCTGAACACACATTGTAGAAAGGCATATATACTGGTCCACGGTTGCACCATTTTTTTTTTTTTTTCAGTACCGGGGATTGAACTCAGGACCTTGCACTTGCCAAGCAAGTGCTTATTGTACTGAGCCATCTCCCCAGCCTATGCATCATTCTTGCATTATTATTCAATTATTGATTAATTATTCTATCATTAGTACATCAATATTACTTCCTTAGCAATATTTTACTTGTTGTTATTTAGGCTTCAAAATTTAGTACATACTATTTCTTGACATTCTTTGGTTAATGTTTTTAACATCTTTCTGTATCTTTCATGCCTGGAATCCTTAACCACAAACCAGAGCACTGAGGCGTAGCCATCTAGGGCTGAGAGACTTGCTCTGGAATTCATAGGTGCAAATTACAGGTCTGGCGAGCCGGGTATGGTGGGCCTCACCTGCAATCTCAGCCCTCTTGGAGGCTGAAGCAGGAGGATTACAATTTCTGAACCAACAGGAGCGATTTAGTTTCTTAGTGAAATCTTATCTCCAAATAATTAAATAATAATGCTGCTGCTGATAATAATGAGGATGACAAGAAGAAGAAGAAGA